CTATCCCAATGCACCCGCCCCTGCCTCAGAGCCAGCCCCCCCCCCAACATCCCCCCATCCCAATGCACTCCCTCTTCCCTCTGAGGCAGGCATCCCCAGCATAGGGAGCCTCCGCACCAATCAAATCTCCCCCCTTCCCTCCTGCAGAGCCAGGCACGGCGAAACAATCTGACTTTTAAAGTGGGTGCTTCTGCTGCCTGGCCCTGCTTGCAGTGTGTAGAGGGAGGCATCACATGACCAGCTCCCAGTCTCTGCTGGTCATGTGGGCCAGAGAAGTGTGTGCTCTGTTCCCAGCCCAGCCTAGCGCCCTCCTGCCGCCTGTTCACTAGACTCTGCCATTCTCCTCACTCCGCTGCCCCTGCCAGATGTGGCAGGGGAACATTGTCCCCACGGGGCTTCTGTCCCAGGGGAACGGGAAATACTGGACATTACACATATCCGGTATTTCCTGGTTTTTTTAAGCAATGGAGCCCGCCAATACAGGACCATCCGGGCGAAAACTGGACACCTGGCAACCCTAAGCCTTCCCCCCATACCCTACACACTGCTACCTCTCTAGCAGAGCCAGCATTGCAAGGTGGGGGGTGGGGCAGGCAATCCAGTGCTCTTGGGGAGCCTGCTTAAATCCAGCTCTTCACAGGCATCAGCTCCCACTCCCCCTCTCATCCTTTCTGCCTCTGATACAGAGGCATGGGGGAGGATACATGTAATCAATAAGATTAACCAATAATCCCAGGCTTATCGGTTAATCATGTAGTCAACTACATGTTGACATCCCTACACTGGATAGCGGTCATAAGCATCCAACCAGAGATGGAATTGCTCTGCTCCAAAAACCAGGAACACCTATCACTCTAATCATAGTGTGATGCAAGCAAGCAGTATCTCACTTAAAATGTGTATTACTATATACTTAAAGGGTTTTCTTTAAGTCAATGGGATATGGAGCACCTTTCATATGAGGTTAATAAGACTGGAAAAGAGTCTAAGAGAGACTATGACAGAGGTCTATAAAATCATGAGTGATGTGGAGAAATAAAGTCTTATTTACTCCTCATAACACAAGAACTAGGGCTCATGACATGAAAGTAATAGGCAGCAGATTTAAAACAAAGGAGTGTCTTTCCACACTACAGGCAACTGTGGAACTCCTCGCCACAGGATGTGGTGAAGGTCAAGTCTGTACCAGGGTTCAAAGAGGAAGGTAGCCAGGATGTACAGAGAGGCTGTCACTGGGGGTGGGGGAGGCAGTTATTTTTGACCAGGCAGCACTGCACATATTTTTGAAGTGGCCCTGAGCTGGCCCGGAAGGGGCGGGGCTTCAGGCAGAAGGGGAGGGGCCCGGACACTTCCCTGCTTTCCCCTGATTGGCCCCGCCTTCACGCCCCACCTGGCGGTTCCCTCTAGACTCCCTCCAAGACGGAAGGGGCGGGGCTTCAGGCAGAAGGGGAGGGGCCCGGACACTTCCCTGCTTTCCCCTGATTGGCCCCGCCTTCACGCCCCACCTGGCGGTTCCCTCTAGACTCCCTCCAAGA